ATCGAGACGTCTACGAGCTCTCCATGCGGTTTTTTTCCTCAAACTGCAGCTAATTTACGCAAGGTCTCAGATCGTTAAGACTTGGAAAATTAATGATCAAAACAGGAAAAAATACTTTCAAAGCGTTTCTCAAATTGGCTGCGGTTTAAGGCAAAAAACAGCATGGAGAGCTCGTAGACGTCTCGATTGGTACGGAAATGTTTGCTCTATTCGATGAATTTGTTTGTAAAAAGTTTTCAATCGAATGAAGACACTTTGTTTTCTAGGATTTCAGTTTTTCATCCATCCAATATACAACAATTTTGATATAAATTTCATATACATACTGTCGGATTAAAAACCCTTCCAGTTACTCGGATCACTTTCTAGACTTCTTTTACCTATTACGGTTGAGAAAAATAATAAAAAAAAAATTTTTGTACAGTTTTAGGGTCTATGGTATACACAGAACGCTGTTGTCGATCATATTTAGAATAATTTATGGTAGGAACCTTGTATTTAATTCTTTGACTAATGAGGTAATTAAAAGTGTAGAGAAATTCATCATCACGGTATAGATCAGGTGTAAAATAAATCGTCAACCATTAACTAGGCTATTTGCTGGATAGCAAAGCTAAGACCTAAAAGAAACTATATTTATCAAATGTATAGTCTTTCTGAATAGTGAAAATAATTCAGTTTTTGAGAATTTCTCTGTTATTTCTGTCATATAAATTGTATCTTCTACGTGCTGTCAATAGTTCATTGGTTTTTTTTTGTCTTTTTCAAATGATTTGATAACTACAAATCGAAAAACTACGCTATTATGACAAAGAACTGACCTAATTTGAAGAAGGAAAAGCAATGGAAATTATGAGCACAGTGTCCGCTATTTTTAACAAAAACTCACACTCTTGACATACTAAATGGTGTTTTTTAGAAGAAAAAAAATGGCTTATTTGTGATCAACATGTAAAACTGCGTCATTTCTTCTAAGCAAATTTTGGTTAAAGTCGAAGAGTAGAGAAATTAAAACTTTTTTTATCGCAGTTTTGAGCAAAAAATAATCAGACATATTCAATCAGCTTTTTCGATGCGGATATGCGAGTTACACCAGGAAAAAATCGAATCATGTTAGTAAAAAAATTGCTTTAATTTTTGTTTATTTTTAGTAAAAAAAAAAAGAAGGAAAGTCATGCAAAATTCCTAGACAAGTCGTGCTGTTTAGTTGAATAACACATCAGTTTTGTATATTGTGACAAGTAATATCATCTAGTATGTAAAAATTGTGGGTCATTGTTGAAAATATTTGAATGTAACACAACATAATGTTCACTGTTATAAAAAAAAAAACGAGTTTTTCTTTTCTCTTTTTCAAACTACGTTAGTTCGATAGAGCATAATAATTTTTATATTTGACATAAATTTTAAATTATTTCAACTTTTCATTAAGTAATACCGTTTGAAAGTACAAAGTCTTTTACAACATTTTGTATGTATTTTTGAACTATTGTTAGTTTTTGATTACTAAAAACGCATTCTAAGTTTTTCTTTTGACATATTCTAAAAGAGCAAATATTTTTACACATATGTGACCATTTCTGATTGGTAAGAATGCTTCTCTGACACAATAATACAATTACATTCAAAACAACACAAAAATACCATCATACTTTGTAACTTATTTTTCTTATGCATAAAAGCATATTTTTCAATTTTAAACATAATATTCGTGATTAGCATGGTTGAATACATATACTCCATTATATTTAATAGAAATCTGAGAAAGAAAAAAATTCTAGAATTCCTAAGAACTATATGACATGCATAAAAAAATAAATTAATGGTAGAATTTTGAGAAACTAAATGGTAGAATATCTTTTAGTTATTACTTTATGACATATTTTTGATTGAAAAACATCAAAATATGTTTACTAAAAATTTCTAACCTTATTCGTTTATTATTTTTAGTATGCGTAGATTATTGTGTAGTTATTATCTATCATTTCATTAAACTATATTTAAATCATGATTAATTTCAAAATTTAGGATATTATGCGTTTATTTTCCGATACATAATAGTACTGTATATGATAAATTATTATTGAATCTAGAAATAAGACTCTATTAGACATCCTATATAGGAGTAAGCAATAATAGCAACAGATGTATTAATTCATATCTTTATGAAAGTTAAAGCAATAAGCAAAAGAAAGAGAAAATAAAAAAATTTAAAGAGAAAGATATAAAAAAACCTGTTTGAAAATGTCTTTATTAAATGAAAACATACGAGAGAAATAAGATATTAATTATAGACTTAAATCGACATCATTATACATAAAATGTGTAATGTGCGGGTGTTATGACATTGATGATAAGATATTAAAAGATAAACATTAAAATAGTGAAATTAACTATAAGAAATCAAAAACGTCAAATCAATTATCAAATTAATTTTACTATATATTTTCAGGAATCACCATCATGTATCTCGGAAGATGAAAATGATTCAAATAAAAATGAGAATAACAAGAAGAAAAAATCAAAAGCAGCTTCATTGTAAGTACCGTATGAATATTTTTCAAATTTTTTTTTTCTTTTCTTTTTTATCGTACAATTTATTTTTTCTTTTCTAGAGCAAAAGATTTTAAATCTCGTGCGGCTAATTTAATTCGTCGACGAACAACCGAAGCAACATTAAGTGAAAAAAGTTTAATACCATCGAGAGAAGATGTACTCTCTTGGGAAGAATCCTTTGAACATTTACTAAGGCATCGATGTAAGTTGATTTAATCTCTACTTATTTATCATTTGTATGTACGTTTTTAAATGTTTTTCATTCTATTTTAGATGGTCAAGCATTATTTCGTGCATTTTTACGAACAGAATTTAGTGAAGAAAATCTTGAATTTTGGCTAGCATGCGATGAATTTAAAACATATAAAGAACCAAAACGAACAGCAAAAGCAAAAAAAGTTTATCTTGATTTTATCGCCATTGGTGGTCCAAAACAGGTATAATTTATTTATCTTTTCAAATGTCTTATATAAACACTTTTCATCATATATTAAATATATATATTTGAATAAATGAATATACTGGGAAAAACACACTTACATTGAAATATAGTATTTATATTAAATACCCATAGTTAGATAACAATTTTTTCTTTTTTCTGTTTTTATTCTTCTAAAAAAAAACACCACTTCGTACTCTTTATAAATAGTTCATCTAATTATATATATATCTCATATCATTAACGTGGTATTATTAATTTTTTAAGGTAAATTTGGATACTGAAACACGTATGTCAACTATAGCATGTATTGACAATCCATCATCTGACGCATTTGATCGTGCACAACGACGTATTCAAGGTTTAATGGAAAAAGATTCATATCAAAGATTTCTTAAATCAGAATTGTATATTAATTTATTAAGACGTACATCATATCCAATTCAAAGACGAACAACAACAGAATTTACAAATAATAAATCATAATATATTAAACAATTGATTTTTATTTTTTAAAAAAATCTACTACTTATTATAGTGGATAGTGTGGCTATTGACAGATAAAAAAACAAACAAAAAAACTATTTATCATCATCTATTTGTTTTGTTTTTCTACGCGTGTTTTGCGTCCATTTGTATTTTTTAAAATCTAGTCAAGATTTATAATGCAATAAGACAACAACACTAATAACAATAATAATAAAAAGTAATGGATGAATAATAATTCATTCAATGTAGTTGGTTATGTTTTCTGTTAAAATTCTGACGCACATACCGGTTTTTACTGAATTTGATTTTTTTTCTATTTATTTAACATTCCATTACAAATGACCACATAGACATATAGTTAGTTGAAAAATTTTCTGACTACAGCAGCATAATGTGCTCATATTTTTCTGTTGTTTTTTTCTTTTTTTTTTTTGTTTTTTTTTGCTGAAAAAATAAAAGCTTAGGTAAAAAATATAGTAAAAAATGCAGAATGCTATACTTTTACCGTAGTCTTTTTTTTTTTACAGTGTTCTTACGTGCCTAGATGGTTTCGCCCTCTCAGCCGATTTGTTTTGTTTTCATTTATATATATATATAGATGTGTGTGTGTGTGTGTGAGTGTGTATCGAATTTTTCTCCATGTTATTATCCATCTTATTATTACCATTTCTATCTGAACGCGTTTTTTATGGTAAAAGTCTTTTCGAAAAAAACTAATAAAAGTCATCCTAAACGATCATGAGAGATATTGAACTAAAACAAGAAGACATCCAAATCATTTTCTTGTTCAGATACATACTTAAGAAAAATTTTTTAAATCAAATGAGAAGAAAAAACATATTCTAACATTGATGAAGTATTTGTTTAAATCAGTTTTTATTTGAAATAAACATGTACTCGAATATATATCGTTTCGACAGAACTTCATATAAGACATTTTAGCTCCTTAAATGTTGATTCTAATATCTTGCTAAATGGATTTTTCACTTCTTCGTTTTTCTACTTATTGATATTCATCTCATTTTAAGAGTCAATGAGTTAAACAGAAAAAAAGACAACAACACACTATTTGTTCAAATTATTTAGTGAATATTTTTAATCGGATGTTTCATATTACTTTTCATCATGCTATTAATTTGAGTACACACGATAAAGTATGTAAAATATTAAAAAAATAGAAGAAAATGTGAATAATTGCCAATTTTTGTTTTTTTTAGTTTCTACTGAATGTGATAGAAAAAAAAGTAATTCTTAATGAATTATCTGACATGAAAATCCCGACACAGAACATCATTATTTACAGGAAGAGGAAGAAAAAACAGCTATACTTTAAAAGGATGTGTTTGTGCAAGAAAGATTGTGAAACACTTAAGAGAAGAATTATAGATGTGAGGTTATTTAGTCTCTTTTTTCTGGGAAAGAAAAAACTCAATTTTACAGTCAAAAGTCTCGACCACTTATATGAAAAATAAAGAACATTAATTTAATATAGTTATATATGTATATAGCTGAGGAGTAGCACAGTATACAGATATACAATTCATGTATGCAGTGATTAAATACATTATACAAAAAAAACTAGAGAAAGGAAGTTATCTTATTCTTTGAAAAAATTTTGCACATGAATATGATCTATGATATTTGTATGCTAAGTGTTGATGTTGATTTGGTTCAGGGTAATCACGACAGACATTAACTCCACGCATAAAACCACAATTATGATAATAATTATTAATATGTTGTTTGAATATTGCATAATATGAATTGATCATTGCTCTTTTAATATTACTTTCTAATAATGGTGCATGTTGTCGAACTTTGTTTTTAGATTCAAAAAAAAAATGAATTATCAAGAGGGCTAATTCTTTTTGCAGCTTTTGTTGGTAGTAATTGAACATCTGCTATTTGTTCACATTGACTTTTATGAAATGTATCTAACGAGGAAAGGTCTTCAAGTGTCACATTCGATTTTCCTTGGAACATACTTGATTATGGGTAATTTTTGATGCTGATCACGAATCTAATATCCGTTTATCCTCATACGATCTTTTAGAACATCTGTTCAAATTCGGTGTCTTCAGAAATCTATAGTGAGCTTTCGTCTGAATAAATTCTGATAGTATCAGATTGTAGAGAATATTAAGTTCCTCCTGTGGACAAGCTTTCACTTAGTTATAAAAATTTCGATGTTTTATTTAGCCAAAATAAGGATCATTGAGGTATTTTTCCCATACAAAATCTATAAGTCAATGAAAATCTGTCCTTTATTTCTCAAAACTTGTCCACAGGTGTAATTTGATATTCTCTACAATCTGACACTATCAGAATTTGTTCAGACAAAAATTCACTACACGTTTCTGAAGACACCGAATTTGAACAGAGGTTCTGAAAGATCATATGAGGATGAACGGATATCAGATTTGTGATCAGCATCAAAAATTACCTATAATCAAGTATGTTCCAGAAAAGATCTTAGGTGGCACTCGGGGATCGTTCCCACGAAATATTTTTTGTTTATTATGAATACATGCTTTATCCATAAATAAATATATGGGATATATCTCAAGCGCACTAACAACTTTGCTAATATGTATATACTCAATTGAGTATTGAGTATAGACATACTACAAGTACTTAAGTACTTGTTGCTTGAACGTAGCATGGTAATAACGAGATACAACGCTTATCTTCAGTTAAAAATATAATATAAACAAATGAAGGACGAAAATAAACTTTTTGTTGCGCAAAGCAATTTGTTTCCCATTGTTATGTTATATTTTCTCTTGCATTTCCAAGTTTATTTATGCAGATTAGCTACATGTGTGCTCGTAGAGTATGATCAGTAGAGTAAGAATATATATGAATATAAATAATAATTATTGTCTTTATTTAGATACATAAAAACAAAAAGGTGGGCGAGACTTTTGGCCGCGACTGTAATTATAGAGCAAATGATTATACCCGTTACGAAAGTGATATGGGAGTTCCACGCCCTAATTTTATGGTAGAGACATAATTCATCTTATAGAAAATGTTCAACTTTGTTCTTTTTTTTCATTCATTATTTGACATTTTTTTCTTTCCATTATCAATCCATCAAAACAAAAAATTGATTGTAGATAAAATCTTGCTAACCTTCTCGCTATTTGTGATATTTATGCAATACGTTAACATCCACTAATATCCACTAAAAGGTATCAACAGCCATTAACATCCCAAAAGGCGTCAGCATCTCTCGAACTTTAGTAAATATAAACGTAATCTCATATTGAGATTCGAGTAGTGTGTAGCTTGTGTCGTTTTTGAGGGTTAGGTTTTGACTATAAGTAGCCGTTATTAAGTGAACTCATTCGACTATTATTCGATGTTAGTATAACCAACTCGATAAACTCGATCTGTTGGCTGTAATAAATTTTAATTTGAGATTGTTAGGGAGGGTCAGCAAATTTTATAAATACTTCGCAACTTTTTCGATCATCTAGAGTAAATTTGATTTTGGTTAACAAAATGGCATCAACAATTGGAATCGAATATGTTCGACACTTATTCTGAAAATCAATAAGTTAATGAGCTTCCTTATTGGTTTTTAAGAAACAGCAATGGGCATATGTTCTACCAACAATGGTTTAGAAAGTCTGAACGGCAAAATTAAATAACAACATACATTAGAAAATGAGTTGCCATTGTCAGTTTGTCTATCAAAAATGTTCGTAGAGTGGTCAAACAATTCATTTCAAAATAGATTTCAGACATTTGCAACACTTAATCATTTCGACGAATTTAAACCATGGAGATGGCTTGATAGTTTCGACAACAGAACCAATATTTCATTGATATGATGGAGTATACGTTATTCCGCCTTCATTTTCGCTGCAAATACCACGGTAAACATGATTGCAACAATATCATTCATTTTTGTGAACTACATTTAAAAAATTGTCTACTTGGTTGTATTCGGGAAGACTAGTAATTATGCCAATGATTAGTTCATGTAAAAATACCTTAAAAAAGTATGCCTCTAAATCAGGCAATTGATCTAATGATGCATTTTAACCATTACAGTTATAGTTGAGATTCGATCAGGAAACTAATATGTTAGAAATACGAGTGCGAAAAGAATCATTAGCTGTACTAATCAGTCAAGTTATTCGTGCGATGGTAATCTTCGTTTGGCAAAAAAATGAAAGAAAAATTGCCCACTCCATCTTCTAGATTCTTACCAATTGAAAAAGGAAATCGAACTTTGTATATGTCTCGTTACCTTGATGTCAACTTATTATCATAAGAACAGTATTGCTCGTCATAGAATAAACGATTGACTAAGAACTAATGATGGACATGAATAGACGTTGAAAGTAGATTTTTACTTGCACATGGAGAAAAATAACAGTGCACACGATATGTTTTTCAAAACAACTATACTACTGCCCAAAAGTATGTAACGCAACCTCTCCCCCGCCCCTAAAAAACAGTTAGAATCCATACGTGCAAAACAATTGCTGGTTAAAAGATTGTATCTCCGATGGTTTGGCTATATCATTCACAAGATATGTGAAGGGTTTTACCATTCGTTTCCCAACTGAAATGTATCTTCCTGCGCATAGAATTTAAAAAAAAATTCGGGAGACAAGTCTGAGAAACAATATTTTGACTCCGTATAATCAATAAATATCTGTCAATGGTTGTTGATTATCTTTGATCGAGTGGCTGAATAGTTATGAATAATCAGCGAAAGCGAGGACTTATTATTGAAAAATTGCTCAAAATCGGGATTAAGTATGTGATGCTTATATGCCATTAAGAAAGAGCAGTTTTAAACAAATTTATTCAACAAATGAGTTTTTCTTGGAATAGAGTAATATTTCCGAAGTAATTTTAAAGGATGATAAAATAACTTTGGGTTTTAACGCAATGATGATATGTGATATTATCCGGTTCTATTCGAATTAAAACGTACCTGTTATTTTCAATGTAGTTTATAAAACCGCAATAAAATG